AAGCTCACTAGAGTGAAACGCGCTGCCTTGAAAGCCCTAAAAAAAGGCGATAAACGTATTTGGACAAAGACATGGCTGAGCAAACGTGGCTACTATGGTCTGTCAATTTACAGAAAGAACTCCATTTCACTCATTGCACCCCCGTTATGATTCTGGGTTTTCCTCTGAGAAGAAGAAGAAGAAGAATCCTTGTTTGCCCACTGAGCGATTAGCTCAAGACCACCTTACGACGGCCGAATGAATTTCAAACATGTTTGATTTTCTCCCAACCTTACCATTCCTGATGGGGAGGTGGTCGCCCCTCATCACCACACCACGCACCATCAGGCTGAAAGTCGGCCAGAGCGAAAAATTCTTGCACGACTGGAGAATCAGCCCAAAATGGGCAAACAATGTTAGAGTATAACCGGCTGAATGCCTCGTCATTCCTGGTTTTGGACACAGCTTAAAGCACAAGAGAGACTTGCTTTCTTTGATGGCGGTCAGAGATCGTAATCTGATTCCATCGTCTATTAGCCCATTCTGCTGAAAAACTACCTATTAGTATAGAAAGGCTTTATAATTCACCAGTTACTGAGCTCTAGAAGCAGAATAGAAAAAAGAGCCTGTCTCTAAATAATAATTTATGTCCCTGCAGTTATATTATAATATATTCTCTATGCACAGACTGCTTCTTCATTTAATGCACATTTCTACTTATCAACTTCACTAAATCCTCAGTGCCGCAGTGATTCCCGGGATGATTGAAGGTCTCCTCACTCTTAACAGCAGACAGAAAGAGGAAACTTAAAGTGCAGGTTTGGAGCTGAGGGTTTGCAGAGTTTGTCCTTCACTGTTATGCTCCTTAAAGTAAAATAATGAATCCATTAGGATTTCATCAAATCTTGCTATGTCGTGGTCTTCAAATGTGATAAAAACAGAGATATATATTGTTTAAAAGTATGTGAGTGAAACGTGCCTTATAATGTGATGCTAAAGCATAACAGGAAACCTTTCCAGAGATGATTCAGAAACAGACTTGATCTCCTCCAGACGTCTCGCTCTTAGAGGAGGAATGGAGGATAGGCGTTCGTCCTCTGCCTGTCAGGCTCTCACCTGTGGGTCTGCAGTCACAGCTGCTCTCCTCAGCCAGGCTGAATCCTCTCCACCTGCCTTCTTCTGCTGGGCTTCCACAGTCAGCTGTCCAGACTTCTTTCACCTGTTCATGATCAAATTGTTGCCCTTCTAAACTGCTGACATCATCATTTTTTTTACTCTTTTAATGACCAAAAACCTTACCAATGCTCAGGCAATGGGGGGGAAGTTAGGAAGATTCTAAGGGCCCTAAAAGAAGAAGAAAAGATTTTTACAGCTATATTTTTCAAATATAAAAAAAAAATCCAAAAATTAAATAAATCGTTTTTCTGCTCTCCCTCATTTTTAAGCCATAAACAGTGAAAAAAAGGCATGAATATATTGACCAAAACCCCCATCTTGCATCGCATCAGGTCTCCACGTCTTCCACCTGTAGTTTGCTCTTACTGGGGCTTACAAAGTCATTTTACAAAGTCATAATGAATGATATAGCAGTTTAAAAGCGTACATACCTTTTTGGGCTTGGGGCCCAATATCAATGTCTTTCATGGGGCCCCATATTCCTAGCGGTGCCCCTGCCAATGCTTTTTGCTTTGTGGACCAGTCAGCCTCCGCACAGCCTGCAGGTCTGCTTCTAGCCTCATCAGACTCCTGCTGTGTTTCCTGTCTGAACGCCACAGGGCTTGATTATTGTTTTTGTACAAACATTGTAAACACGTATCGATGCATCGATCCAACAGCCACGATCCGATGCATCGACACGTCCGCAAGAGAATCGATTCATGTTTTTTTT